TATATATATATATATATATATATATTTAATGTATAGATACAATGACATGAAAAAATAGAAATTTATATGTTAAAAAAAATCTCAATGATAGGATTCATTTGATAATTAAGTTTTGCCACAATTTATTCACACACTTATCTTTTTTCGTTCTGATAGGTCCTAAATGATGCAATGTTTGGGACAGCGAAACAACTAGAGGCTTCGATCAATTTTATCGTGCAAATAGTAAGATTCATGAGCCCGATCGAATTCGTCGACGAACTTGAAAGAGTCAATATTTTAGAGAGCGAGTTGATAAAGCGGTTGGTGTATACACTACAAAAATATAATTATCCATCAATTACAAGTCCAAGTATAAGAAGAAATGTGATAGAGCTTTCAATTTGGTTGATGCAATTTAATGAGAAGTGCATCACATTGTTTAGAAACCATGAGATGGAAAAGGAGCTTCAACATGTTGCAGACACCACTTCAGATGTTGAATGTTTTGTTGTATTTTGTGGTCATGTTGGGCTCACAAGGTATGGAACAACAATGGCTACGCTTATTGACACTGCATGGGAGTTGCTGGGGAAAAATATTCATTAGAAGGTACATATATTAGCATGAATTGTGGAATATTACGAGCCTATCAAAAGACATTATTTTATATTGTATTATTATTCATTGGTTCTTTTATAAAATATGCATTTAGTTCTTTGGTGTTTCTAAAGTTTATGAAAAGGGTATTTACATAAATACCATCCCGTTCTAATGTATTCACATATCTAACATCTAAACTTTGATTTTTACTTTTATACCACCAAATCTTCATATCACACTAAAAGACCACCAAATACAGCTTGACATTCATAGGTAAAGTGGCATACATGTAAAAAATAAAATTCAGACGTTAGATATGTAAAAACATAAGAATTGAGTGGTAAGCACAGCAATCAGAACATGAGTAGCAGCAGTATCAATCATGCCTGGAGGACAAACATCATATTCAAGATTCAAAATTCCAATATATTCATTAGAAACAAGCCATATCAAGATGGTATAAGTTTGTTGGAACCGAGACCCTGAATGATCTTGAATTTTAATCTAAAATATTTATTGTTCGAAATGCTCCGAGATTCGTGCATGATTAATTTTTTTTTTTAATAACATCTCTCTCTCTCTTTCTCTCACACACACAATCCCACTCCTTAAAACTTGTACGGCAGTCATTCTACCCCGTTGGCATTATTTAGCTTCGCAAATCACAATCCCTGAGGTTTTTGTTCGATGTTCACATTAACCCAACTCTCGCTTGCTTGATTGCTGCTATCATTGAGCATTCAAATCATTCCATCTCTCTTCAACTCAGGCAATACAACTAGCTGTCAATGACTACTACATTCCTCCTACGAACCAAAATTTAAATTTTTGTTCTCTTTTATATTCTCCTTGCAGAGCAAAAAGTTATGTTATCTTTATGGCCTTTTAAAGCTTTCAAAAATTTGATTTTTGGTTTAAAAGGCCTTTTGAAAAATGCTTGTTTATTAGTGAGGATTCAAAAAAAGTTATCTTTATGGCCTTTTAATCAACATTCCTATGAGCCTTTATTATGGCCTTTTAAAGTTTTCTCACAAAATAAAAAAGCTTTTTAATTATAAGGTTTTAGAATTTTATTCACTAGTAAACTATTGAAGTTTGAATTCTTTTTACCATAGAATAGGACTAGTACTTCTAAATTAATTACTAATATAGAAAGTAGTGGTGTTATATTTCATTATATTTTTAATTACACATTTTATATTAACAATTTATAAAAAAGACATTGTGTCCATGGTGCATCAAGTTGTCACATCTATGGCGTCTTGGTATCTTGTGTCCAGGGCCGCACTTGTGTGTATATCAAATAATAATAATAATAATAATAATAATAATGAATAAATAAATCAAGTTCATAAACATATACTTGGTAGATTTTTTAAAAGCACACACCCTCATTCCAACCATTCCGGTTATTACTAATGAGGAAAAAATGTGTGCTTCATTGAGCAAATCACATGCAGTGACAAAATCATAGAAAACACCAATAAGACTCTGGGTCCATTTGGCGCGGTATTATTCGTGAGGTGTGTCCGTTTCGTGTGTTCGGAAAAGATGTCACGGCGACAACCTTAAAAGTTTTCGATACGTGGCCATGTGTTCGACCCAGCAACCTGCGTTTCTTGGCTTGGCTTGCTATTTACATGCTCCTCCTCTCTCCCTCTTCTCACCATTCTTCTGTCTCTCTCCACCAAAAGTACTTCACAATTCAGTATATATGATATTTAATGAATTTAGTTTATCAATCAACCATCAATGTCTAAATCAGCCTCTAAAATCTTACAATAAAGAAGAGATTTTTAAGGCATTCCACAATAATTTTGGAAGAGAATCTTCATACTTTTACTAAGCTCATCTCTTTGCATAAATCAACAATAAAATCAATACCATTGTGAATTTGGAAACCTCAGCTAATCAATGCTCTCTTTTGCCTGTATTCTATTGATCACTAAATTTGACAACAACAACTATGATCGAAGGCTCATAGGAACAAAGTGATTAACACATTTAAAAAGATTGAATGAGGAAAAATTATAGACTACAACTGTTACAGCCAAACTATGGAAAAAAAAATCAATAATAAATTCTAGAATATATTTGTCTAGGCTTACCCCAAGAAAAATTGGCATCAACTCAACCTCTTGCCAGTTCATGTGGACATATGACCAGCGGTTTATGGATCCTGCATGCAAAGAGAGAAAATATGATTAAGAATTAGTAAAACTTTGAGAATATATTAAAGCAACCTTTGTCGTAAGTTCCATAAAGCGGTTACTATTCAACTAAAGTTTTTCTCTTCATCCTTGCAGCAATGAACTGAGGTGTAGATTATCTTCATGTAATCAATGGACAAAAATTTGTTCAGGCTAAAAATGTTAAACTTTAAACCCTCTTTATGTAAATAAGCATTATGCATGAGACTTTAAGACAAATCTATAAGAAAATCCATACACTTGCAATTAGTTGGGTGCCTATGCCTGATAAGTGCTATCAAAATTTGCCAATGGCAAAACTAACTACTGGTAAAAATACACCAATTATGTTAATAATAATAATAATAATAATAATAATAATAATAATAACAGCATGCTCTAGCCAGAGTTATCCACTCTAACCATTTATAAACAAGTTAAAGGGGCATTTACATACATATCACACAATTCTTATGTATTGACAACACCTAAACTTTAATATTTACATTCACAACACCAAATCCTTAATATCACATCAAACATACCACTATTACTAACATTTGAAAAGCCAAATGCATATTTTTATGCATAAATTTATTGCACCAAGGTTCTATAAATGTAAGTGTCAAACTTTAGGTGTTAGATATGTAAATCCAGAAGAATTATGTGGTACTTCTGAAAATTTTTCTAAGTTACAGTACTTGGGAGAAGAACTTCCATTAATGAACTTGTATCTTTCACTTGCAATAAATCTTCTACATTGCATGAAAAGCGAAGAAGATGGTGAGGGTCTCTCTAAAATCCACAAAACAACATCTGTGATGTCTCCTTTGCTAATTGCATTAGAAGGTATGTCAACTAGGGAACAATGAATATTAATAATAGATTATCCAATCCGTGGTAGACTTGATAATTTGAGTGCCACTATGCATTTGCTTACCCAATACGCTGATTCTAACTTATTTAAACACAAAACACAAATTCTTTATGTCAAGGTTTCGGTTTGTCACACCATAAAATCATAGTGGCATCAAAGAATTCGTCATTTTTTCCTCTCAAAAACTAGCATTCTGAATTTGCCCATTTTGAACGGTATCATAATTTGAATTGCACGTAGAAATTTTACTGCCAAAGCTGTCTTCTTGCAATGAGAACCCAATTCTATATTGGTTGCTAATGACAGGAGTATGAAACACCACCAACCATGCCAATGATGAGATTTTGGAATTCTCCATCTTCCCGGAAGTTAAAATGTCTGTCAAGGGAGTAACCTCCTAAGAAAAGTAGATTGTGCAGTAAGGAAAGTTAAAAAAAGGAACATATTGCAGACAAAGGTTATTGAAGAAGCTTAGTAATAGTCAAGATAGTCCAAGTTAAAATATCTGGTATGATAAACTTATGAGTTGAATAAATGAATTATTTTTAGCAAAAGGTTATCAAAGTCTTTACTTGCAAGTGATGCCGCTAAAATGAATCAAAGAATTAACAATCACGCTGTTCTGAAGTATTCAACAATGAATCAGGCATAAAAATGTCATAGAAAAGATGCTAAAAATTGACTTACAAAAGCTTAAAATTCATCCTCAAACAGTGCAAGCCTAACAGAAAGGAAGATAGACATTACTAGTAGAAATCAACAGTCCATATCCAAACATTTCAAGCCATCAGCTTTAACAAAAAAACATATTTCCCAATGTAAAACACTTCTAATTTCTTCCTCAAATCATGTTCAAAGTAACCGGGGGGGGGGGGGGG